GAGAAAGAGAAAGAAAGGAAAATGAGAGCATGATGGGTCGTTGAAGTTGAGACAGAGGTCAGGGTAGGTTCATGCACCCTGGCTTTACAAAAAGTATAAGGCAGACGGAAAGAACACATTTATATTCCCAAACACGCGCAACCGCCAATTCGGCGAAATGCAACAGTTATATCCTACAATAGTGTGGAAGTCATTAAACTGGACTGAACACCCTTGAACGTTAAACCAAAATGCCACACCAAGTATAAAGCACCTCAGTGGCCAGTATGCACCTACTCTTTAAAAATCAGCCTCACAATGTTTACTTGTGTGCATCTAAGGGGCTCTTAAGATGTTTCAGTCAATTAGAAGTCAGATGAACTGAAACCTGTAATCCAATTACAGTCACTACCTTCTCTTCAGAAAGCAAAACTGCCTGTGCTTCAGCTGGAATGCATACGCCAGGAGTCACACGCAGTGCAGATCATCCCTGAAAGTTTATTTCCAAGCTTGCATGCAAAACTACTGGGTTCCTGGAACAAAACTTGAATATTTTTGGTTGCATCTATATAGAATACGGAGCAAAGTTTGCTCAGAAGAATAAGAGAGCACTATGGTTGGACAGTAGCCTGTCCATGTGCACATTAACATAAAAAACTTGCACCATTTGTTTGCATATTCTGAAGCACTGTTTTTAATAAAACAAAAAGCTCTGTAACCTAGTGAAGTCATTCTCAGGACACTGCAAGCAGTGTCTCACCAGAGACAATGAGATCTTATAGACCAGATCTTTGCAATTCCTCACACAACTACATGTATACCAACTATATTGGTATATTCTCTGTGGGCTGCATGTTGCATGACATCCCATCGCTCCACCAGAACCGACAGCAGATTTACAAACTCTGCTTCACACAGAGAAGATCTGAAAATATGCTGCATGTATCTGGCTTCAGCCCTAAAAGGAAAGCTGAAGAGTGGCCATCTAATTCATTTCTGACTTGTTTTTGTTTTAAACCAACATGCCCAAACAAAGAATGCACTTGAATAACCCCTAACAGATTACCCATACTTTCACAGAGTGTAGTTATTAGCTTCTTGGATGCACAGTAAGGCTTAGGAAAAGGGCTCCAGAAGTCTTCATGAGCTTACCATCTCTGGAATTTGAGAAGACTATCCTTCACTCTCCAAGGTTCTTACGTAAAAGTTTAGCTTCCCTCTCATGGTCCCTTGATACAATGGAAACCTATCAATTCAAGTTTGGTACTGTTGGGTATACCCTCCCCAACACTTTTCAATTCGTTCAGATGGTTTAAAAAAAAATCACATTTTGGTCTATTGTCATATCTTGATACAAAATGGAAAACATCTCATTCTAATCGTTCCAGAGCTGGGAAGTTTCGGCAGAGTGCAATATAAACAGAACCGTGTCTCTGAAAGAGAACCTTGCAAAATGTCAAGAAAAAGTATCTGATTTCAGAGTATCTGATTTCTCAATGACTTTGACATCCCAAATTAGTCAGATTGACTTGTGGGAGTTGCGCTACACCTTCTAAAAATGCTGAAACGTTTTCCATATGCAATTTTTTAACCATACCATGTGCGACATGAAGAAGAGAGGAAACATGGGAAGTGACCTTTGCATATCCTGCATAATATCCCTTATTTACAAATCATTATCGACATTAACACTTATCATCTATATTATAGGAATAAACCTTCTCAACATTGGGACTATTGCAGTTATCATCCAAGTAAAAACACTGCCCTATTTAAGGTTAGCCCAATAGACTGCCTTGCTCTTGTTGCTTACCAGAACAGCCTGCTGCTCCCCTGTGACCCAATATTGGATCCAGTGGTTAGAAATGGATGGATGAATGAGCCAAATTGACTCAATCGGAATTAAAACAGTTGTTGGGGAACTTTCTCCGCTTCCTCTTAAAAGACAAGTCAGGAGGTCTGTCTCAGAGGTTAAAAGAAGTTTTTATTTCATGCGCATGGAAGCGAAACGGTGTATTTTTCTCAATGTGATTAAAGTAGACCAGTGCTCTAATATTTTGCTGTTATCTGTCACACTTGACCCTGTGCTAGTCAGATTGGCAGCATTCCAAAATCACCCTCATCTTCCTCTTCCCTATTTGCCAAAGATAACTTCTTTTAACACAATTGGGTATTTAATTTTGTAGCACATGTTCCTATATAAACACAGTATAGAATTACATAGTAGCCCTTGTGTCCAGCATTGTGTCCTCCCTTTCCACTTCAAACCAGTTCTGTATGTCCGTCTTATAAAATACTGCAGCGTCAACAGAAAAAAAGCATGAACAAAGTTTGCAAAGACCCTCTAAACACAGGTACACTAACACATTAACACTAAAAACAAACGAGACCTTCCAGCCCATTGAATATCTTTGGTTGTTAGCAGCTGATTGATCTCATCTAACCATTTCCTTGAAACACGCCATGACATCACCCTTGACAACACGGCTGAGCAGAGTTTGATAAAGGGCTCAAACACTTGGACAACACTTAATCTAAATGAAGAGCGTACTGCACAATTTCAACATAATGTCCTGTGATTAAGGTTCTGGTCTTTTAACTGTGTATCCTAACATTCTGTTCGCTTTTTATATTGCTAATCCCCTACATTGTTTAGAAGATGAAAGTGATGTAAATATAAGCAACATGGCCTTCTGAATAGCTTCTAAAAGGTTCCCATCTATTATTTACAGTCTGTGACACTGTCTTCTTGTAAAACTGTCATTTGGTCTGCATTATATGTTGTAAGTCCTTTTTTAATTTCCTTTATAGGTTCTACAGTTTTTGTTATTTTGTCCGTTTTGTTATCATGACTACGTTTGAGAGTACAGAATTTCTATCAGAATCACCGATAGAAATGAAGAGCAGCCGTGGTCCAAATACATTGATGATACTCCACTAATTAACTCCAATCTGAGAATATACCCCTTATCTGCAGTCCCTGCTTCCTGTTCATTTCCTTGAATCCTTGTTGCCTGCAATGTGAGAATTAATCCTCGATGAGGACATTCCTTCTGAAAAAAGTAATTGTACTGTGCCATATGCAATGCTTTTGTCCATTATTGCTGTTGCTCATTCAAAGATTTCTAAACAGTTAGCCAAGCAAGACTCTAAATCCATCCTCTACATATAAATCCTAGACAGTGATGTACAGTTGACATAAACTCAACATAGTTAAAGAAGACACAATTTTTCTTGTCCTGCTGGGTATCTGTGCTGTACTATTCATAGTTTTGCTAAATGGATCAGAGATTTGTTCAAATAAGACTTTGATCCTCCTCCACAAAATTGGCACAATCGGGAGTCCTGCATGGATCTGTTCTTGGTCCCATTCTCTTTGTATAACTCTGTGTAAGGATTGTACAAGCATACGGCACAAGTTTTTATTTCCATGGTGATGACACCAAATTTCCATTTGCATAGAAACTGGCATTAATGAAGCACTGTCTGCTTTGTCTCATTGCTTGGAGTAAGACGCAGAAAACTCAGATTTGAACTCTGGGAAGATCAAAGTTATGCCCAAATAAACATACTGATTAAAAGAAAAAAGTTATGCTGATTGCCTCACCTTAACAACTCCACAAAGACATTGTTCCACCAACTCCACAAAGACACAAAAAAGTTGATGCTCCTTGAAAACGTTTAAGCATTCGGCTCACAAATAGTGGTGACATCTGTTATATAGTCCTTGCATTTGAAGCTCATTTTGCAATGTTGTTAAGGTATCTTTATCATTTTCATAACACTGCTGGTGTCCACTCACTTCTCTTCCAATATGACAAAAACAGCTAACTCACCACTTTTCAAGTTTGATTACTGTAATAAAATCATTTTTGACAGTTTTTGCAATATACAGTACACCAGAATAACAAAACATGTCTATCACACCAAAAGTGGTAAAAAACAAGGTTACATCATTATTTTATCTGTGATGTTACAGGAACCATACCAATTTCTGCAAATTACAGGTGAGCAGAAGTTTGTTTTAGGAGCAACCACTAAATTTGCAATATTTAAACCTATTCCATAAAATGTATTGGAAAAGGTCACTCCTATAAGGACCTCAATGTGGAAATCCGCACACAAAAACAACCAAATAACCACATTCTAGAAACAGCAACGGTCATTTCAAATGCAGGTATCAGATATTGTCTTTGGTGCGTGTTGGTTTTTGTTTAAAAATGTTTCTTCTAGAAAACAAACAGCATCACAACAGGTATCTATTGGTATCAAAACACCTTATCTATCTGAAATTCTAACACCAAGCCATGAGATCATACAGTATCTTATCATTGCAAGCTAACAAAAACTGACAGTGTTGACAGTATTCTGGATCTTAAAGATCCTTTTCCTGGCTTCTTTCTAATCCCCTTCACCTACTGTAGCACTATTGACATATGATTGCAGATATACTATATATTAATATATGCAAAGGAACAAGTTGTGTTTTCTCTCTTCTCTTTTCAGCTTGGAATAAACCTATTACTTGTTCCTTTGCAGACTACGCATGCTGACACAGCTACCCACCTGAACTATATTAATATATTATTACATTACAATACATTTTGAACTAAGGTTTACTGTAAACAGTCAGATATTCCAGTATAAGACTGAAAAAGTAATAATTAAATGACACATAGTCATAATCAAATATGTTTTCATTTTTTGGATGGGGGGATCCTGTCTCATTCTTTTTCCACAGTGCTTCATTCATGCTCCTCAAACAGCTTGAACCAACAATTCATGGCAAAAGTTGAGTGATCCATTTGCAGACACAATGAACTTTGGCTCCAAAGCAAAGACAATTCTGTGAACTAAAAATGGTCCACTAACCACTAGACAAGAAACCAGCATGAGTCCTGTCATCTGACTGTCCTATCTTTATCACGGTGGCAAAAATACAAAGCCTTTTCTACTGAGAAAATTGATTGTATTAGTTAAATGTGCTCCATATAGCAAAATGAAGAACGGTGAAAGGTTACCTCTCCAACACCTGTCTGTAAGATCTTGAGCCCAGTCTCCGACTCCAAAAAGGTCTTCTCAGCCACTGTTGGAAAAGAAAAGAAAATGTCAATTTCTTAAATTCCCCCAACGGACCAAACTTCTTTGGTCAACAGCCATGTGATATGGAAGAGCGTAACTGTGTAATAATAATTAATAACTTCTTACACTTATATAGCATTTTTTCTGGATACTTTACTCAAAGCTCTTTAAAAGTAATGGGGACTCTCTTCCACCACCACCAATGTGCAGCCCCCACCTGGATGATGCGACGGCAGCCATAGTGCGCCAGTACTTTCACCACAGACTAGCTCTTAGTGGGGTGGAGAGCAGAGTAATGAAGCCAATTCATAGATGGGGATTATTTGGAGGCCATGATTGGTAAAGACCAATGGGAAATTTGGCCAGGACACCGGGGTAACACCCCTACTCTTTTCCAAAAATGCCCTGGGATTTTTAATGACCACAGAGAGTCAGGACCTTGGTTTCACATTTTTACAGTATTGTGTCTCCGCCACTATACTGGGGCATTAGGACCCACACAGACTGCAGAGTGAGTGCCCCCTGCTGGCCCTACTAACACCTCTTCCAGCAGCAACCTTAGTTTTTCCCAGGTCTCCCATCCGTGTGTTGGCCAGACTCACACCTGCTGAGCTTCACTGTGTTGCCGGTTGTGAGTTACTGGCCAGATAATAAGAATAAAACACTGTTTTATGTTAACCTCAGTTGTGAGTATATTGTATGTCAATTATGATTTTTGTACACAAAAGAATTTAGAAAGCTTTGCAAAATAGAGCAGGCAGGCAGGCCATTCTGCAAATTTTGTTCATCCCCTTTCCAGTAGTTAATCAATCCCAGAAGTGAAGGTTTCCTCTGCATCCTTTCATTCTTGATCTCGGATTGGCTTTATCAATACCTTTGGGATTTATAAAATACCCAAAGCAATTCTTGTTCTGTTTTCAAGAAGCGTTTCCTTCTTCATACCCAGCCCTTGAAACAGCCTGGGTATGACCCATAAACCAGAAATTATCTTGGTTACTCTTCAAGACTTTTCAGGACAGCAATAGAACATGTGCAACAAAATTCAACGCTTTAATGATGTACTTTGTAATTAGAACATGGCTTCCCATTTGTTTATGCCGTATTAACTGGAACTACTTGGTAATAAATCCCTTCCCGACTCCTTTCAAACATGTCAACATCAATCTACCATTGCCTCTAGTGTATTTCTGTGACTGGAGGCGACAAGCTGAGTCTCATCTGGGGTTAATGGTGTTTGCACTTCCAGCTTGACTACCTTACCCAAAAGATTTTTCATACAATAGGTGTTATTTTGCTGTATTTATGTAGCTGTCCTCGACTCAGCAGTTAAGGAAATCTGGAAAAAGATATTGATGAAGAAAATGATTTCTCAATTATTTACACGACAATAATTTACTTATTGTTAATAAACATCACTGTAAATCATTACGAGTGCCTTATTAAAGAATAAACGTTCCACCATGACCAGTGCATCGTGAGGTAATTTTCACACCTCCATAGGAATGGGCCATAGTGTAAATACAGATACAGAGAGAACAGAAAGAAGGGACATCATCATCACTCATCATTATCATTATCCTTATCCCACGTTATGGTGTGGGAGAGCTCCTTTTTCTAATCAGATTTGAACCAGACTCTGTCCAGGTCATCCAAACACTGAAAGGAGTGCAGGATTCAGGGCTTTCATATATAAGAGATCCTTCTGCCTTATTTAGTTGGAAATTCTGATTACCTGCACAGCATTTTGGGATCCCCAGATTAAAAAACGCCTTTCCCTTTTTAGCAATGTAGAATAAGGAAATTGGTTCTCATTCTCATTTTGTTTATGGTTTTAGGCATACATAATTTAGAGAGAGAGAGATTTACTGCTCATTAATTTGATTAGGACACAGGTTGTCTCTATAGGGCCTGTTCAGGTGTTTGTGCTGTGTATAAGGATATAATTTGGTAGGTCTACACGAGGTGTAACTCTGAAACTCACTGAGTTTTCATATCTGTCTATAGTGCATCCATTGCGTTATTATTTAACACATATTTGTTAGCTTGGTGCAAGTTTGGACCAGATTGTTACTAATTTTCAAGCTGTGCTAGCGAATAAAGAACACTAGTGTCAAGTAACTGACATGTTAGATGAAATTATTAGTCTTGTGTCAGAACCTGATTAGTCAGTTAGTGTCACTCTGTGGTTCAACAACCTCTCTATTTTTATACTTTTATAATCCCCCCATTTAACTGTATAAATGCAGCAGACAGCAGTGACTGTGGTTGAATTATCTGGGTCTTTTTTACTTTTTCAATTTCCATTCCAAGTTTCAGCTTTAAACACAACAACCCCCCCCGTCTGCATATAAGAAAAACACAGCTCTTTTGACTACCCACATAAATGATTGCACTCCGTTAGAGTACAGCACAATAATACGTCAATTTAATTGTCCCTGCTTTTTTGATAGCAGTGGTTTTTGAAATAATCTCTTTACAGTTTTTGGCCTGCACTGTGCCGCTGAAAAAAAAAAACAACATATTAACCAGCACACATGCAAAGCTGTTTATTTTAATGGAATCAGAGTCCTGAAAAAAAATATAGACATGAATGTTTTTATATTTGAGCTCCCTGCACTACAAGAACAATTTGTTACAGATAACATTATGTGTAAAACATCTTTTAAAAAAGTAACAGATCAAACTTGATTTTTTAAAATAAATGTCTTTTCTGAAGTTTTGCTTCTCTACTGGGTTTCATTCTGGCTTAGGGCATGTCTTGTATAGAGGTCTTCCCGTTCAGTCCATGTTCAACAAACCGGATTTGTGGGTTTTCATAAGGTGCTACAGTTCTCTCCCACCCTCTAGATACCATCTGAGGTCTCTTTATTTCACCTGTCTTTGTGTGTGTGCCATGCAATGGATTGATGTCCTGCCCAAGGTGTATTTTTATCTTAAGAACTGTCTGCTGGATTAAGGGCTCACTGCAGATCTTCTCAGTGTCGCGATTGTAAACCCCTTCTCTTAAGGACGCTCCAGTCCTTCCTTGTTTTCTACTGATCTTCTGCACCTGCCTCCGGTTCTTGCCCCCTGTCCTATAAAAGCCAGGGGTTCCTGCCAATCTGGGCTCAGCTTTGGAAGACGGACTCCCAGAAGCCCGCCTACCTGCGAGTCCAGGAGCGACTCAACGGCACAGGCTTCACAACGGCGTCATGACCATCTGGGTCCTGGACTGGAGCATCGGGTCCCGTTACCCCCTTCTTATTCCATCGACCCTACACCGAATCCCACTCCGGCTTTTAACTCTGTCTGTCGGGATGGATCACCCGGTCTTGGACTTTTGCTACCCTCTCGGATTTGCCTCGGATTCCCTCGGACTGTTTGCCTCGGCCACCCCTCCCCCAAACACCAGCGCACCATGGACACGCCCCCTGTCTTCCTTCCAGCCCCTTGCATGCCTTTTTGCCTCTGTTTTCTTCACTCCCCCCAGATTGTGTTGTCTGCATAGGGTCCTGAAAGAACACTTTGTGACACCCAGGTTGAAGCAGCTATAAATAATGAAGGCAAGGATGGATGTTATAATCTCCTACATGAGATGCTTAAGAGTGTTTGAGTTCCCCTCCATCTCTTTAATTAAAAGGATTGGCAATTTATTGAAACAGCCAATGGATTTGTGACTCCAACGCAAAAAGGCAACAATCAGGCACAAAATATATTTGCATTTGATAGGATTTTAATCTGAATTTTGAAACTGAAAAGACATTTTAGCACCCCAACAAAAAGCCCTATAAAGACACGTCACCGGCTACTAAAAATACAAATACCCCAGGAAAAACTGTTACAAAACCAGCGATGAAATACTTTGGCTTTGAACACTCTGCTCTAAGCAAAACTCTACAGTTCAACTACCTTTAGAAAACTGTTGATTTTTATTCCTTGTATACCTGAGTGTCGGTTTCTTAAAATCCATTCTCAGTTATTATTCCCTTTGACATATGTTTAGAGAGAGACTAGGATTAGGAATACGTCAGTCTTTATTCATGGAAAGAGGCAACCTTTGACAGTACTCTCAGGTAGGAATGTAAAACAGGAATTACAGAATCACTGATGTTAATGACATTGGACAAAAGTGTATAGTTTCGCGAATCTCTTCCATTAGCTTTCATCCCTCTAAATAAGCACACTTCCCTTTCAGAGCGGTTAAGGCAGGAATCCTGACCCCCTACTGAAACTACCCACACCCCCTGCCTCTAACCTTTCTCAATTCCTTTTGCCATTCAGCCCAACATTTAACTTCACAGGAGATGAAAAGATTTGCCATTAATATTTCATCGTGTCTGGCACCCAACCCGGCTCTTGCTAGCCTTCAGGAATAAAGGAAGGGGACTCCTAATTAGATTGTGATCTTCATTTACAGAAAACTCAGCCAAACCTCAGAAAATCGAGTCCTTTTCTCACCTGCCATTCAGTCGAGAAAAGAGAAACTCTGGCCAAAAAGACTGTTCTTATTTATTCAGGACATGGGGGCAATGTTCAAGAAGGGCTACCTGTGAAGAACTGTCTAATTTTCTCAGCAATATATTTACAAAATTGAGAATAAACCATTACAATTTTGGAGGGAGCAGTAAAGCAAATGCTGTGTCTGTGTCTAATCTCTTTTTCTACCCTCTGCATTTCATGTGTCAGGCAACAGTAAATAAATTCCCTGAGGGCGAGGAAGAGAAATAACAAGGAGGAGGATCTATGCTAAGTGATTAACATTATAAGATTCCAGCAGATTCCAATCCCAAAACCTTTGCATCTGTGCTATATTTAAGCCTTAATCTTCATTAAGTGTCACACAGATCCCTTAATATGCTAAAGTGCTTATGTTTCTTTGCAGGCAGGGGTATGGTGTGATGGATAGTGTTGCTGTCTCACAGCTCTTAGGACCTGGGTTCAGTTTTAATCTGGGGTGCATTCTGGGAAGAGTTTGCATGGTCTTCCAATGTTCAAATGGGTTTTCTTTCTGTACTGTAGTTTCCT